CCTGCGTTGAAGTCGCCGCTGTGCACAAGTACGCCGTGTAATTGATAAATCCATGGTTCCGTCGAAGCCGCCTTGGCTTCATCCGAGAGATACAGAGAGGCATCGAATTCCTCGGGAAACTCATGTCTGTCGTTGACCTTCATCATAGCATCGCGATTGATGTCATATTCGAATCTCTTCAGCTGGAGGTGAAGCACTGGGGGAAATGATTCGAAGATGACACCTTTGCGGGCATCCTGCAGCTTGTAAGGCTCTCCAGCGTCGTACTTGTTTTCGCCCTCCAGGGTTTCGACTTGGATATAGTCCATGAAGCTCTCGTGCAAATTTTTGTTGCCCCTGACATTGAGCTGAATGTCCCAGAATTCCTCTATCCGGGAGGACTCGAAGTCGACGTTGATACAAGAAATGTAAGTCTTGGTCTTTCCGACGAAAAGTTCAGGCAGGGTCCGTTCTGCAGGTGTGCCTTTCATCTTCTTCTCCAACACCTCCATCAATATGCGCGACAGTTCTTGCACGTCTTGCTGCTCGAAAATTTGCCTAGTATCCCATCCAAAGGATGCGGTCAACTCGTTGGTTGAAACTGCAAACCTATCTTTCTGGAGCCTATAGAATAGACGCTGAAGTGTCCAGGCACTATTACTCCGGTTGGCTTCCTTCTCGGTGGGGATTTGATAGACAGCTTTTCGGAATAAGTTCGTGAAATAAAGAGACTGGAGGAGAGAGTTCAGATAGCAGGTTGCCCCCTGGTTCTTTAAACCGACCATGCCGGTCTCCTTCTTTGAGTCATATCCTTCGAAGTTATGCCACAAGACGCCGGTGGGGTCTTTGATGATGCGGACATAGGCTGTCAATTTGGCTTCATCATTCTCCACCAAATGCCTCGACCCATCTTCCCAAGGTTGATGGAAAGCCTTCCTAAGTTCCACAAACCTGGTGAAGCCCCAGTCACCTTCTTTTGCGTTGAAACGGTGAGTGGCAGTGTGGGTTCGGTATAGGGTTGGGTCGTTCGGATTCCACAGGACGAGGGCAAATTGAACGCAGGCGTACCAATCCGCGGGCGGTTCGTTTTCGAATCCATGTTCTAGGTAGAAGGACGCGCAGTCGACCTGATTTCCGAAGGGGAAGAATAGCACTCTCCAGGGATGACCGCCGCATTCAAATACTGGCCCGTGCTCTCTTCTCGACAATGTCCGCCATTTTTCTATGTGCCATGTGTGATATGCTTCAGCTTCGACCTCGACATCAGGCAGGTCGACGAGGACGTGCCGCTTCATCGTCTCAACTGGATATTGGTCAGTTCGTGGGCGAGCCAAGTAGGAGAGCAATAGTAAGCTGTTGGGTGGACATACAATCATCGGCCCGTGGGAGGGCTTCTGCAGGTTCTTCTGAGGCATCGTCCGGCGAGATGTTGACCACCTCGTTTTCCTGGTGGTATTGGTCGTAGCCGTCAATCAGCATGTCCGGTCCCGCTAACTGCAAATTGTCGAACCGGGCGGCGAAGTCAGTATTCATGATTGTTGGTAGATATACAGGCTTGGAAAACAGGGCAATGCTCAACGTACGTTGTCCATGGTGAGAAGAGTCTGGACACGACGGTTATATTAAACTGCGCGGGACAGCAGGCGAGGGTGGCAGCCGAGTAGCTCTTTCCTCAGGTTTCCGCAATTGACGCAGGGAATGGGGAGGTGTTATGTATGTCACAATGTGTGGGTGATGCAAGAAGGCTCGTCAGCAAGCAAGGCCTCACTCGCCACCCACGCGTAAATCTAGAATCTAGATAGACGACAGGGCCGATGGATGGGCTGGTTGCTAGAATAAGTTGCGCAGGTACCTTTCGGGGGAAGCAAAGATGGGATGCAGTATCAAAGGGTCAAATCATTCCTAGCCCACTGTCTGCAGCCTTCCAGAATAGACGTCAAATTATTGTCAAAGTGTCGCCGCCAGCCCGGCACAAGCTTTTGAACGGGCGAATAGCAAGGGTCAAACGCCGGGCTCTCCGTAGAGTGAAGCACGCCCACCGAATAAGCAGCCCGTCACCTTTTTTACCACTAAACAATTCCTAGGGAACCCCGTGTTGGTGCAACCCAGGCGTCATTCCCTGGGCCACTATGCCTAAACCGAGAGTGGTTGTCAACTGCTAGGCATTTCCAACGTCAATCCCTTCTGTTTAGCTCTTGGTATGTGACTCTGCCCCTCCAACAAACCACAACTTCATCACGATTCTTTGTGCAACATTTGCTGCCCATGCGCTTTCTCAAGTCACGGTGACGAGATGACCATCGATAGTCTGTATGACTCCTCCGGCCTGTTGTTTGGTATGAGATGCTCCAGGTCGCTCAAGTTTTGAGGCCACGAGCCTTGCGCCGAGACTGGTTCAGTCATTCCCTTTGTGCGCAGTCACGCAGATGGACCTCTTCTCAAACCGGGAGGAACCCACCTCCATGGCGGCCAGCTTCGACTTTAGATGAGTACGGACTTGTTCTTGTGGGTGTTCGACCGGGCAGTTTGCTAACAAGCAACTCGCAGTTGGGTTGACCGCCCTATTCGTCCCATCAGCCTACGCCAGCTCTTCTTCTTTGGTCGCACTTTGACCGAAAGTCGTTTGCTGAGCTCCGCCAATTATGTCCGTATGGAATTGCCTACCAGGTTTGTTTGTTGTGTCTGAAATGTGTGTGTGTGTCCACCCACTTACCTGCTTTTTCAGACTTGCTCATCGCCTCCGAGACATGCAGCGTTTGCCCTATGTGGTGGTGACAAATCCGCACCTATCATTTGTCTACGAGCTCTACTACAAGTCCTTTGAGAGCTTTCGGCGTGTCCCTGTTATACGAACTGTGGAAGAGAACGACGATTTCTGCAAAGTGATCGCCGACAACCTGAAGGAACATCTGGCGGTGATCCCCAACCTGGTCATGGGAGTGCTGGAGTGTCAAGATTTGGTTTCAGTCGACACGATGGACAATTTTGTGCAGACCATGCTGCGAGCTCGGATTTCAAGACGTGTCATTGCCGAACAACACCTAGCCCTGACGGAAACATTCAATTCACCGTGGCACGTGCCCCAACCCAGCTCTGAGAACGAATTTGTTGGTGAAGTCCTGCTCCGCTGCAATGCCAAAGAGGTGATTGAACGGTGTGGCCGGTTCACGCAAGAGATATGCAGGTCGACCGCAGGCACTGATCCATTGGTACCAGAGATTCGAATTCAGGGACACACCAGTGCTACATTCCCTTATGTTCTGAGTCACCTCGAATATATTGTGGGCGAATTGTTGCGGAACTCGATCCAAGCAGTTATGGAGAAGTACCGAGATCCTCGAAAACCACCACCACCTATTGACGTGCTGATCTGCGAGGCACCCCAGAACGTGGTCATCCGCATATCTGACCAGGGTGGAGGTATACCTCGAGAGATCACGCCCTTTTTGTGGTCTTTTAACAAAGGACCTAGAAGCGCTTCGCGCCTCCAAAACTTCAGGGACGTCCCTACACTTGCCGCCACCATGCAGGAAGTTCGATTGGGTGCAAGCGACAAGCCGAGTGGAAAAATCAGAGATACATCCCTCAGCACTCTAGCCACGAGGCCCCCTGATCTTAGGCTGGGTATGGGTTTGCCCATGAGCCGTGTGTACGCGGAGTATTGGGCTGGTAAGCTCGAGTTGCATAGTCTGGAAGGATATGGTGTCGACGCATTCCTGCAAATTTCGAAATTGGGCAATCAGAACGAACAGGTTACATCACGAGCTACAATCGATGCGGTATGAAAGGGAAGGATATCAGAGAGGGAGAAGCCCGTTGAACAACTGGAGTTCATGTGCTCAGATAATCAATCTTATACGGATGTTCCTGACTCTATCCAATAGAGGAACGTCGAGAGGGAGGTTTCTACAAGAGTCTCCAGCACACATTTGAGTAGGCTAGAACCAGAAGAAAAAATATCAAGACATGCCTAGAGTTCAACAAGATCAGTCCAAGCTGTCACAATAGTGGCAATGTTTCAAAGAACAGCGTCAGAACGAGCATGTAGGTCAGACTTTGCCAATTCACTTCCTGCTCTGCCAGCAATTGAGCATACATAACACTTCTTGCGGCTGAGCTTTCAGTTTACCAGAGCTGTTTACTTCTTCATAAACACCTCAAAGGTCTCCAAAAGGGGAAGAATGTCACCCACATTCTCTCGGTTCTGATATATCACTTGTCCGCTATTCCAGGTCATCACCACATCATGGGAAGCCACGGAGGCCCTCGTAATGATGGTTTTAAGATGCGGGTTCTCTTGAGAGATTAATCTCGACACACTCATCGGAAACCACCAGCTTCATGGTGTCGAGGTTTGTAGCTGACGTTGATTTGAATTGGGTGTCTGGACAGAAAGAAGAGAGAAGATGATTTTTTCACGCAGACAGTTGAAAAGGATGAGTCGTGCCTGGAAACGCGCGCCTAGACCGGAAGCGGTTAGCGGGAACTGGGGGAGAATGGCGCAAGCGGCTCTTCGATTGGCGGGCTGCAAGGGCTCCCAGTTTGCCCAGGCCAAATGAAATGCAGGTCAACTGGCCCTAGGGTCGTCCTGGTGGCCCTTGGACTTGACTGCTCACACCCGAAAGCCCAATCCCAAACTGCGCTTCAAACCTTCTGATTTTGTATTTGAGGCTCCTTGTGACTACAACATCTTCAGTATTGACTCCTCGGGACCGATTATACTCGACCATTCTCAGTGATTATCTCCTCTTTGTCTCTATTTCCACCTTACGATTCAAGAACTGTAACTTGCCAAAGACTACTGATCTCGCTCGCTCGCGCCCGCCACCATTCACCTCCGCTAGTTTTCCCGAACCTTCGCTCGTCTACCTACCTTTTCCGTCTCCCTTGAAGCAGTCCTTTTGCGGTCGTTGGTAGGGTGCGACACTGACCGACCTCCTTGCCACCTGACCTGATCTGCTCATGGAAAACGCAAATTTGTGGACTAGACGTTCCAAGTGAGTTCTGCCGCTGGCCCTGCAATGGACTGTGAACTTGGCAGAGATACTAATCCTCTGGACAGCACTGGCAAACTATCGTTGTCTATGAGAGATCAGGAGGGTAAGGATGTCAGTAAGATAGATTCTCCTCGCTCCTACAACAATAGACGTTTCGGCGGCGACACTTCGTCCCACGGCAAATCGAATCCCTTCAACGCTCTTTCGCCTTCCGCTACAAAAACCCCCTCTGCGAGCGCATCCTCGGCATTTGGACTAGGTAGCGGTGCGTTCGCTTCATTTGGCTCAGCAAAAACCCCAAAGACCCCGGGGGCAGGGCCGGGTTTCGATTTTTCATCACGTGAGAAAAACGAGAAGAAAGAGAGGGATCCAGATACACCCGGCGAGAATTCAGAAGCAGAGCCGCTCCAGGGTTCCCCAGGGTCTTTCAGGTCATCCTCGGAGCATCCGCTACGAAACACCTGGAACCTCTTCTATCGGCCCCCTGCTAATAAGTTCTCCGACTACGAAAAATCGACCCTGAAATTGGCGTCCATCAGCTCTGTGGAAAACTTCTGGACAATATATTCTCATCTGAAGCGGCCATCCTTGTTACCTAGTGTCTCCGACTACCATATTTTCAAGGACGGTATTCGTCCAGTGTGGGAGGATGAGGCGAACAAAAAGGGTGGCAAGTGGATTGTGAGATTAAAGAAAGGTGTGGCGGACCGCTATTGGGAGGATCTGCTATTGGCCATCATCGGTGACCAGTTCCTAGAGGCAGGAGAAGAGGTCTGTGGCGCGGTGCTCAGCGTACGGAGTGGCGAGGACGTTTTGAGTGTCTGGACCAAGATTGATGGTGGCCGAAACATCAAGATCAGGTATGGCATAATATGTGGCGAGGATGAGTCCAGAAACTGGCCTACTGACTGCGTGACAGGGAGACCATCAAGCGAATACTTGCGTTCCCTCCCGACACGAACATTGTGTGGAAGAGCCACGACGACAGCATCGCCCAGCGATCGGCTCTGGATGAGGCCAGACAGCAGAAGATCAGTAGCGCCCCGGGGCATCCTGGGGCAGAGAGACGACGTCCAACCCTGCATGAAGACTCAGAAAAGAGCAAAGGGAAAGGGATATCATGATACCATATGGGGATGGCATGGGATGAGACGATCCCCCTTGTAGCATTATACCATCAATCACTGGCTTTGAGTTCCTGGATAGCATTGCTAAATATGCCAATGGAATTCTGACTACGCTTTGGTGCATCAAGCAGGCTTCAGTTGAGGTCAAGATTGTATATCCTCGTGCGCGGACTATCTGTGATTTGGTTGTCTCGTTGTGTAGGGCTGCGGGGAGATGCTCGGGTTTTGGTCCTTTCCTCTGAAACCAACCAACCACACGCACAGCATCCATCTGCAGCCACCGCAGCCGCACTTCACCATTTCACTCTTCTCCCATATCCATAACATTTAGTATCCTCCTTACAACTTCCTGGGTAATATGGTCGTGCCAAGGATCCGTGGGTGGTCACGTCCCAAATGACTGATCCCTGGCAAGTGGTTGTGCAGGACACATTGGAAACTCTTAACCGGACTGGTCTCACTCCAGGACACAAATCACACATCGGGCAGAGGGGCACGGACGACAAGTCAAGTACCGCACCTCTGGTTCCTCCGAATTCAAATGCCTCTCCATCGCAGTCGAAGAGGGTACAGATGCCCAGAACTCCTCCGAAACACCTCACAAAAACCATAAAAGCCTTTCTTGGTGCGCACGACAATGCCGCATCTGCGCCTATTCATGTACGCTGGTCAGTTCCATGTTCGAACCTAGTACCCATGCTGACCTTTCTTTTCTGCGCAGATTGAGAGTGACGACGATATTGAAACGCCCGTCGAGAGCAAGACTTCAATTCGGTACGCCTTCACATTCATGAGGAGAACACAAGGCACCCAACTGAGTACATTCACTTCCAGATCCAGTGACGCGCCACTGCGACAAAGTTCTTCGTGGTCAGGATTAAGTGACGACGACAGACTGGTGGGAGGACTGGTGTATGAGCCATATGTTCATCAGACAGACGGGTTGCTGAAATTATCCACAGTCGACGACACCCCAACCCTGAGCGCATCGAAGAGCCCATGAAGAAGCCTTTCAAAGTACGCCATCCTCCACCTCGAACTTATGGCTTCTGACAACAGATCTAGCCTCCTTCGGGGGTCTATAAACCATACAATACCTTGAACGGAAAGTCGGCATATCTCCATCAGAGGACATCCCAATCTCGGACCCCAGTACCCGCGTCAAGTACGCCTTTGCCGTCTAAGAGCGACGTCCACGCCAATGACCATTTTACACCTCACAAGAAGCGCAAGATCGGGGATTGGGGCGCATCTGCAATATCTCCTACGTCGGCCATCCCTTCCGACGAGGGCCAAATCCTGAATGACTCTGAAGACGAACTTGCTCTAGACACAAAGTCGAACGATGGAAATGTGTCTGGGAGGCTCCCACAACGACGCCGGCCGGATGATAGAGATGGGAATGGCGTTTCAACCCAAATACGTCGAGACAGTATCGACAGGTCTCAGGTGGACCAAGTGAATCGCTCGTCTCCTGAAGATGAAAGCGCTTTCACCAAAGACTCTGCACAACGAAGAAAGACCGAGAAGGATAAGATAGTTGAGAGCCCCCATGAACTTTCAAAACACCCTCACACCTCCCCCTACTTTAGGTATCCAGAAACCCGAACAGCGGATGTCACTCGACAGAGGCAAAACCCAAAGTGGGCGCAGTCACCGGAGAGTCCGGATGCACTGCAGAGCACTGAACCTCGATCTACGTCAAAGTCATATACATTCGGCGGTGCACGCTATCCGGAAATGAAGACCATGGATCTCGGTAATTTGATTATAGGGCACACATCCAGTTCTGTCGGTCATAAGCGGTCGAATGAAACCGTGCAACCTCCACCCAAGAAGATGTGCTTTGTCCTCTTGGAATTTGTGTTCAGAGAATTTTGTGATTCTTCGGGCTACATGATTGAGCTCGACAGGTCGGCATCGCAGATCGCTGTCAATTTGAAAAACCCGCTCTTGGGGGATGAGTCGGTTTTCTTACCACGCGGCATCAACCAAATCATCAAGCTTAGACACGGAAACGATGAGTCGCCATTGGTGAACCTCCAGTTTGCTCGAACTGGCATGGAAGAAGAACCCATGTGGCTCAGATTCGAATCGCACAAAATGGCCTTCGATTTTGTTAAATTTTTGACAGATGTAGAGAAGACGCTGAAAGTCACCACCAAGGACGAGTAAGTTTTCTGACTCTCTTGAGACTGAATCTATCTAACCTTGTCTAGGCGTTGGATGGAATTGGCTTTTGAGAAAGCCAAAAATGCTTGCAAACCAAAGGAGAGGCCCTCGACGAAGACTCTCGCAATGCAGGCACCCACAGCAAGACCAGAAACCACATCAAAGGACACTAAGTCGACACTAGAACCACGCGTCAGCTTGAAACGTAGTAGGCTGGTGGACAAGTTGGATGCACCCCCTGAGGCTTCAGAAGGGCCTCGGATACCAACGGTCGCGCACAGCAAGAAAAGTGTCGACGACATCGATCGCGCGCCCCCCGTGGCCAAAAGGTATTCACCTCTGGCAGCCCAGGAATCTCCACCATCTCATATGTCAAATCACTCAACCGGTATGCCGCCGCCATCTGTCACCCGGTCGCGCGCCATTGAGACAGAACCGAGCATTGAACAAGGACAGAGCGAGCCCGTTGAAAAGACAAAAGCATCGCAGACTGGAGCTTTAGGCCGACCCTGGACGAAGGACCTTGTTTACCCGCAACCCGGACGAAGAGCTGCAGTCGTCCCCTTTGATGATCTGAAACGATTGGACGATGACGAATTCCTGAATGACAACCTGATTTTTTTCTTTATGAGGTATCTAGAGACACGCATGGAGAAGAGCAACCCCGAAGTGCTCAAGAGGATGCATTTCTTCAACACCTATTTCTACGAAGCCCTTTCCAAGACAAAAGGGAAGCGAGGTATCAACTATGAATCTGTCAGTCGATGGACCAAAAACATCAATTTATTCAGCCGTGATTTCATAGTTGTGCCTGTCAACGAAAACTACCACTGGTATCTCGCCATCATCTGCAATCTTCCATACTTCCGTCAAGAACAGACAATGAATAGCGGTTGGTCTGAGGACGTGCAGCTGGGTGACCAGCCAAGCGAGGAAGGCGAGAAGGATTCTGATCAGCAGATGGATGACACACAAAGAATATTGGCCAAGGTCCTACGCACTGTCGAAGAGGGAGACAGTCTGTTTGACGATCGGCCGAAATTTAAGAGACGGAAAGCCGTTCGCAGGTCACTCCCAAAATACGACGTGACCAAACCTGTCATCATCACCTTGGATTCTCTGGGCTCAGCACGATCGGAAACATGTTCACAGCTCAAGCAATACATAGTAGCAGAGGCTCGAGACAAGCGGAATCTGGACATTGATCTGAGTGAGCTCAAGGGAATGACGGCCAAGGAAATCCCGACTCAAAACAATTTTTCCGACTGCGGCCTGTATCTGTGCATGTACCTGGAGCAATTTGTCGCTGATCCATACACTTTTGTGCGGCGCATTTTACAGCGGGAAGAGAATAGACAACAATGGCCGCGCGAAATTCGTAGTCAGGATTTGAGATCAAGGTTGCGGCAACTAATCCTGGAGATGCACCGAAGGCAAGAAAAAGAACCCCGGGAAATGGAGGAGCCTTCTATTGGAAACATCTTGATCAATACAAGAGAGATATCTCGCTCGCCGCCAGTGACCCAGAGAACAGCTACAAGGCATGAGGTCAAAGAAGCGAAGAAGAGGTTCGAAGACATAACTCACAGCAAGCATTCCGAATCCAACAAGGGGAGGGACTGTGCGTCTTCAGAGCTTGGGTCGAACGTCACGAAAGCAAGGCCTGGTGCCATGGTGATTTCAGAGACTCCGGAAGATTCTGACGAGGAGGATAGGCGAGCAACATCAAAGGACCAGATGCTAGAGCAAAATCCCCGACGGTACTCGGATGTTGAACCTTCTTCTCGGGACACGCGATTTCGTGCAGCCCCTCCGAGAGATGCCCATACCATACGAAACGTCGACCGGAGTTTGCGCTCCCCCACGGCACCCACGGACCAGGCCACTTACGCCTCGAATCCAACTGCTGAACACCGCTCGGATAAAAGACGAAGGTTAAGTCGTGCGGATGATTCGGACTTGAGACGAAAGTCCCGATCTTCGAGTCGATCAAGCGACCTGACAGATTACCTTTCTGGGCCGACTAGCGCCGCGCGTTTTCTCCCTATGATTGAGGAACACGCAGCGCACTTCTCTGCTTCTTCGTCTCCTCACCGGATTGTGAGAAGCGATTCGGATGAGGAAATTGGTATGAGCAAGAAGAGTGGACCGGGAAACACTGGTAGGACGGGGAAAAGTCATTGTGCGAGTCCTGACCCCGAAGTCATCGGGGGAAGGAAAGTTGGGCTGGACAGAGAGGTCCACCATCTGACGAAGCGAAAGCGACCATCCGAGAAAGCTACGGCACCCAATTCTACAATTGAGCATGAGGAATGGGCTAGAGGCGATGTGAAGCGGGAATCACCTCGGGTTCGACGACATGATTTTTCATCCGCCCACGGCGAGGTTCGATCTATTCGACAAAGGGAGAGGAAGGCTAGATATGGCGAGGAGGATGAGGAGATGCTTTTCCGCTCGTGAGACTTTGTCGCCGAGATATGGGCGTGATGGTGATGATAGATATGGAGCTACTGTTGTCTGAGGGTGTGCCTTGCTTGACTGTGGCCTGCTTTATGATCAGCTTTCAAGCGATGAGCACCGTCTGAAAGGCTTTGAAAGACTTTGAACGATTACTTTGACGGTTACAGCCTCACGATACCAGCAAAGCCGAGCAGTGGTTTTTTGCACGATACCTCGTCTTCCGTGTTGAGCCCTTGTGCCTTGTCTACCACCTCGGTGGGTTTTTGGAGAGGGAGAGAGAGAGAGAGGACAGATAGATGTCTCTTGAAAGCTCCTTCGTAGGAATAAGATACATGAAAGCGATTGAGTGAGATACTCGCCTCTGT